TCCCACTGTGGGAAACACTATGAGAGGCTAAACTACTGGGTGAATTGTCATTCCCACAGTGGGGAAACTATGTTTCACACGGTGGGAATGACAATTCAGGGAGTGGGTTGGCCTCTCATAGTGTTTCCCACAGTGGGGAAATTTTTTCACACTTAAGGAATTTGACCCGTGTGAAAAACAAATCCAAATCTGAATGCCTCAGGTGTGAAAGATGCCAAAGTTACTTTATCAATTTATTTTTCACTCAACGTATGCACAGCTTATCATTGCAAATGAAATTTTCACCTCGGGATAAATTTATCTATCACCTCAGATAAAACTTGGCCCAAAAGTCCACCTGACCTGAGTGAGTCTAACTTGGTAATGGTTCTCTTACTACTCAGTTGGGGCTTCTGGGGGCTTCTGCTATTTGTCAATAAACCTCGATGAACGTTTTTGACTTGTCAGGTATGAGTCTTTACAAGCATGATGTAGACAATTTATACAAATTTATACAATATTTATTTCGCAGGTCTGCACGTATCAGTAAAATTCCATCAGGGTTATTCGGTATCTGTATCAGAAGTTACAGAAACCGAGTTTGCACGTGGGTGAGTTTTTTCTGTTTGATCGGCGATCCACTCCCTCTGCCATTTTGAAAAACAGAATACATCTATGTTATCAATATACAACTCAGACCAATCGTTGGCAATGGGTAGGTGCAGATTCGTCCACTCTGGATGAAGGAAAGGTATGGGTGTGGAGCTGGATAGGTGGATATCGAGGTGGATGAAGTGAGAGCGCCTGATGAAACCTATGATGATGGGTGAAACATTCCGGTCGAGTGGTGAAAAACATGGAAATACAACTGTAGACATCGCATCAGAAGGGTTGTAATATATAACAGGGCGCTGATATGTATTAGCTATGATAAAAGCACCGGAAGGCATGGGATACCATTGACTATGGTCTGTTATGAGATCCTTTGTGTCCAAAATTGAAGTGATGCGGGTGATGTCAATGTTGTCACCTGAGATGACAGGTAAATTTTGCTGGTACCAGTCGTATTTTGAGTGAACATGTTCTGAAAGCTCCAGTCGAACTGATGTTCCTTCATCTTCGTTTCGTCCAATGGATACTGCCACAGCTGCAAACGCACAAAGTCCTAGGCCGGGTACATCAGTGGCCGATTTGATAAAAGGGAATATATAACGAGGGATATCTTCGAGGAAGGGCCATTGCTGTACCAATGATAAAGGTTGAGTCAGTGTAACTTTTTCAATATTACAACTATGAATGAAGATATCTACCTGCAACACCGTCATTTCAATCTGTTCTGCCTGTTTTAATTCTTCTGGTGACACATGTTTCAGGTACTGATCAACGGGATGGAGTAATTGGTGTGAGGGAAATGGAGACACGATTGAAAGTTGGAAGTGATTATATTACACACTTTGGATTTTTGCAACCGCCTGCTTTTACACGCTTCCTTGCTCGAACCGTCTGCAGTATCGGTCTGGTCAATCACAGCTTTGCTGGTCTCTGTCAACGCTGTCTGGGCTTTTAAGGGTTCTGCATTAGCAGAGGCTGGGCGGATGATACTTGTAATTATCATACCTTTGGTTGTCCATCATCAGTGGTGACCTTGGTTTCTTCAGCAGCTTTGCGTCGTGCAGAGACTCTCGTAGGAAGTTGAAGGCCATCATCATCGATCTTGCGCTTGCGAGATTTAGATTTAGCTTTGGGTGCTTGTGAGGTACCGTGGGTATCTGCAATGAATGTATCGACCTTCGGATTATCCTGCGAGGCTGGCAATCCTACATGTACCGCTTGTTGGGTGAAAACTATCGGACTCGGTTCAATATGGTTGTGATCGACTTTTTCATGCTTCAAGGGTATATCATACGGATCAAACATGGGGAGTGGTGAAGAAGCAGATTCTGCAAAGTTTGTTTGCAAGTTAGCTATATGTAATAATAGTATTTTGTGCATGAATATAAAAATATCAACAACTTACCTTTTTCTACTAGAGAGGTACTAGCGGGACAAATTTGGGGAAGTAACCGATTGATAATAGTTGCATTGGTTAAGGTGCTTGAGGTTAGCTCGTGCTCCTTCACTGATTGACATCCCTTTGACTTTGATGAAGGATCATCGTGGTGTAAATTGGTTCGTTCATCATCCGTTGGTCTATTTACTGTTGGGTTGTGTGGTGGTTGAGTCAATTGAAAGGATGATGGAATTGGACTGGCATGCACTTGGATTAATGAATTAATGACATTAAGATCGTCCGCTTGATGAGATGAACAATCCGATCGAGTTGGAGGAATCGTTATGTCTGCAACGCCGGAAAGGGTATGATCAGGAGTTCGATTTTCTGGTAAGGCCTGGGTGGTTGCGATAGGACTGTTGTGCGCTGAGATGATTTGAGCTGGTTGTGATTTTCGTGTTTCTTGGTAGGAAGAAGGGCGCTTGACGGCGTCAGTGGATTGGTTTTCGGTGGGTCGTGCAGGACACTCGACTTCTGAGTTGGAAGGCACAGTGAGATTTGGGTGGGTGTCCGATTGCTGTGAAGTCAGATCTCCTGATGTGATTTGAGTTCGAGTGCTGTCTTTGACGTTGGGTGCTTTCTTTGTTCTCCTTTCATCATTGGGATCGGACTCTAAGCCATCTGGGGTTGGAATGGGCGAGGGAATATCTACTTTTGAGGCGACTGTCTTGAGACCTAAACCTGTAACTTGGGCTTTTGGCAAAGGCGGATCCGGTTCAACCTTTCCATGTGATTCAGACATGAGATCACGTGCAATTTCGCAGTCGCGTAGGAAGCGCTCCAGGAGACGGGCTCGGGTACCGGCCGTAAGTTGATCCAACTGGGTGAGTAGAGTGTTGTACTGACTTGTGGTTGGTTGCGAGTGCGATTGCGAGGTGAGTTGAGCAGGGTGGGATGGTTGTGGTTTTTCAGATTCGACCTGGCCGTTGTCGATTTCATTGTCGATTGGTTGTTTGCGGCTCTTCGGTGGTTTTCGGACAACTGGGGGTTTTGAATGTGGAGGATGATCATGTGTACCAACAATGATCTCGACTCGCCATTGGTGTGTGGTTGGAGAACGGCGTGCAATCACCTTGTATGGGCAGGTTTTGGCGACAGTTGGCAGAGAAGCGGTGGATGGGTTGGTCGATGCCTTGGTCTTGTGTCCGTGTGGCCCTAAACTACACTTGTATTTCATGTGGTTCTTGCGGGTGTCGCCTATGGAGATCTCAAATCCGTTATGTGCGGCATGAGTGAATATGTACGTTTCAATCAATGTCAGATCAGGATAAGTTGTATCGGTGGACGGTGGAGGTATGGGGTTGGGGTAATTGAATGGGTTTGAGTTAGAATTGGTGATCGTTGGTTTGTTGAGGTGGCTCATGTTTGAGGAGTATGGATAGTCGAAGTGGTGGTGTGCAGAGGTAATGGTTTGGCTTGAAGTGTAGTGGGAAGGATTTTATTGCGGTGGGGTGAATCCGTTAATTGGGTTGGTCATTTTGTTGGGAAAAACAATTGGGTGGGTGGTGGGAATATGTGTATGTAAAGTTGGGTGGACATGTTATCTCTGTTGTGTGAATGGGTCATCTGTGTTTAAGTGTGCCCATAGGTGGCCACTGTGTGAATCTGGTATGTAGTGCGTGTGTACTGGGTGGGTGAGGATGGGTGAAAGGGTGACTTGTCTGAATTTAGATGACAAGTCAGCTATTCCAGAGTGCTGGGAGTTCTGTGCAGCAGACTACGGTACAACACCGTAGCATTTCACACAGATGTCACGATGTTTCATCGTGGGATCTGTAACACACAGGTGATATAGCTCCAGCTGCCTTGGTCTTGCCGGAATTTCTCATTTCGAGCCCCGTCTTTTGGCTCTTCCTCTTCTCCTGAGGATTGCCCATTTGGGATTTTTGGAAAGGGATATGGAAAGGGATTTGGGTAAAACACTTGGATATAGCTCCAGTTGCCTCGGCCATGCCGGATGTGCCCTCCCGGGACTTAAAACTTGGATATAGCTCCAGCAGCCTTGGCTTTGCCGGGTGTGCCCTTCCGGGACTTCTATAAAACGGTGTGTGTTGGACAAGAGGACAGGAGGACGAGTGTACCATGTGACGTAGGGAACGGTGAATGGATGGAGAAGGAGGTGTGTGACGGTGGATGGGACGGAATAACTCCTGGTTGGGGCGACGGGGTGTAGGTAGGTTTCTCTTTTACTTACCGTCAGGTTGGTGGTCTCTCCTGGTATCACTGCCTTTTTCCTCGTCTGTCAGTTCGCTATCGCTCGCTGACAATTCCTTCTCTTGCCTGATTCTTGCATGTTGGTTCGCTGCAGGTGTTCCGAAAGGGCAGATCAATCCCGCCGGTCCGAAGTTGCCTGGTTTGGTGCATTCTGGATCCGGATTACTAGCGACGTCTTCAAAGACCACTTTGTCGTCCTCGTTCTGATCGCGTGCGGGTTGTTCGTCCTCACCGTTGTCGTGATGGCTTCCGCTGGCTCGGTTCCTGGACCTGCTCCTGAGTCGTGGACCGGTTTCGCCATTTCTTACTGCTTCCACTGCCCGCCTTCTGTACTCAGCCAATTCTTCTACAAAAGTTACCATATTTCGAGTACCGGCTAGGTGTTCTCTGATTTGTATAACTTTGAGTTTCTTCTTTATGATCTATTTGTGAATGAAATCAGATAGAACAAGTATTGCAAGTCGTAGTCGAACAGATGGACTTTCTGAGTTCCGAGGCTAGTTGATCGTGGCGTGCGAAAGTGAGAATGAACTTTCACTGCGAGAGGTGAAAAGTTTTCTGCACGCCACTGCTGGCGAGCTATAAGCATATGCTAATAGCTACTACAACGTGCGCCTCCTTCATGGACCTTACCGTCAAGTCGTGCCTTGGTTGACGGTACCAAACTCATTGGTTCAAAAGATTGTACACATGAATCAATATCGCAGTTAGGTACAGTTTCAATGATTTGTTGTGTTGCTTTTGAAGATGCATCGAGATCTTGAAAGACAACAAACATATCAAGCAAATCAATTGACACTAATGCAAAGTTTCCGAGTACGTTGTTAATCTCGTGATTTGGTCCGTGGATCGATTTCATAGAGTATCATACACAAAATTATAAAAATGTAGAAAGCGATTCATTCAAGATTGTTGGATACGGGTATTTCTTTCGTTAGCTGCTTCAAGATATCTCAGATCGTCTCGGATAGGTAGGCAGGTAGAATGGTGAATTGATAAATATTTCGGTCCAGTCCTAGACCCTGGCAAGAAATCAGTTGTAGCTATTGAAAACAGGAAGATGATGAATAGTGATGAGGAAAATTAGATAGGTTGAGTGGATTGATTGAAAAACCGACTTTGTCATTTAGATATGCATCTTTGATGTAATCATCCAATCCACGATCCCAAGTTTTTTTGACCAGATATCTACATCATGATCAAGGATTTTAAAAATCAGCTTGATTGAATAGATGTTGGGATTGAGATAAGTTTGGGTAAATGAAAAGCTTACCTCAGTTCTAGTACAAATCAAATACCTGTTTTCAGTGGGTGGGGATACAGGCTCAGATCACAATTGATTAGTAGATACAGGATTCAAAATCCATTCCTACTTCTTCATATGTTTCTCTTAATGCATAAAATTGATATCTTCATCTTCTGGTTTCATACAAACACCTGGAGATACTAAATTTGATGATCAACAAACATTTGATCTTGTCAAGTGTTTGATACATAAATAAAACTTCTGCTGTTGAATTTGGAACCCATGATTTTGAAAAGAGTTCATTGAAGGTTGAATTTACATTTGGTTTTAGATTGATTGGAATGAGAAATTTAGATTTGAATAGATTTTCTTGAATTCAATTTAAAGTGGAATGTATAGGATTTAATGTTGCTTGATCTAAAGCCGGAATGGTTGAAGGCGTTGAAGATGAAGGTGATTGAGGTGAACTTGATGATAAAGTAATAAGCAATGATGTCCTTCAGGCAAATGTGAGAATAGTTGATAATAAGTCTTGTAAACTTGTACGCAGATTGAGTGTGATTGGCAGTGGTGAGTATTCCTGGATAATTTCAATATCTAATTCCAGTAAGGCAAGACGGTGCGGCGGATAAATGGTATCATTTGAAAATGAATGAGTATAGCAGGGGATGTAAACAGCCTAACTCCACTCTCTAAGTTCACTCTTCTTAGACATGAATTATATTCATACATGTTAAGTGATTTATATATCACATCTTTTACTTATGATTGATATATTTTATCACCATCCTTGCTCTTTCCTTGCCTCAAGGTGAGGAAAGAGCTAAATGGGAAAGCGCGCGAAGCGGGCTGTCGGATTGGTTTTCTCAAACCAAGATTATGGTTTGCCTGAACCAAATCTTTGGTTTCGATAACCAAGCGTTGGTTTTTGAAACCAACCTCCTTAAGCTCGTCTTTCGGGTTTCCTTTGCCAGTTAGATGGGGTTTTCCCGTTGACCCTCTTCCGAGGAAGGTATGGTGCAGTCATGCCGTCCTTGGCCTGACGGGCAACCCCATTTACTGCATGGCTAAACCATCTGGCGCTGTACTTCAACAAGCTTCCAGAAGTACGTTTCGGAAGTTTTCCCCTGCACGCGCTGCGTTGAGTTATAAAGTTTGAGTTTCATTTGACACTCTGCATATATTACCAAAACCTTATTTCTGGAACTAATGGTAGACTCAATTGTTCAGTTTGATGGTATCTAAAAACAACTTCGTTTTTCGTATTTCTTCCTCCGTAAATTCTTTTATATAACACTTGAAAGATTCTGACTTCCATCGTCCGACTTTCTTAATAACCTCCTCTTTTGTTCCCAAATTCGCTCGTAAAGAGGCACCTCCTACACGAAAGGAGTGTCCAGACCATTTGTCTAAAGTAGCTTTTCCCCACACTTTCTCTACATGTTTTATGAAAACCCTTTTAATCAAAAGTCCCTCTCCGCATTGGAACAAGAACAATTCTCTTCCCTTTTCTGGATTTCTCTTGAGAATCCTTTCCAGGGCTTTTACCGGATCGAGAACGGAGGGTTGTGCTTGTAAGTGAATAATTTGAATTTCGTTTGGCGAAGCCGTTTTTCCTTTCCGCAAATGAATCTTTGCCCACTTCCCCTTTCCAGATTCACCAAATTCAACATGATGATTTAAGATCGCTCCATCTGACTTCTTGGTTCTGAATATTTCACCTAACCAAATCATACCCCAGAAAGCTACTAAACCGATGTCTGCTACCAAGTCATGGGTTTCTGATTTTCCATACGATTCCACTAGTAATTTATAAAGCTTCTGTACCGTGACTGGCCTCTTACTAGATTCTAACACGATGCCTTCTTCTTCCCGCTTTGTAGCTCGTATCAACATTTTGATTATATCGTTATCGACGGTGATTTTCTTGAGATGTTTCACAATATGCCAGGCGTTTATGCCGTCGATATATTTATCAATCGTTTTAGCTACGATTGGCTTCTTTGGTGGGTTAGGCACATCTACTTTTGTTCTTCCCGCCCAAGTGATAAAACCGTATATCTCCTGATTGCTTATTGGCTCGTTCTCATCAAATTTTCTCCCTGTCGATTCTACATAAGCGATATACTTCGATAAGCCTGATGAATAACCGGAAAGAGTTGTTCTGGCCCAGCTTCCGATAGCTAAATGTGCCCCTGGTTTTGACGACTTCTTAGCTGCTCTGCCAAAATAACCTGGGACGTCGTCTGGGTGAGACGTTGCGTGGTTCCGACGTATCTTCTTTTGCTGGGGCATTGTCTGGTCCGTACTGAAATGGTTACGAACCTGTCATTTTCTCTTGGACCAGACTTTTGATCGCTTCCGTTCCTAGGAGCTCCCTTCTAATCCGAGTGTCGTCATTTTATCTGTCTCACCCTCTCTCCCGAGTTGGAGGTTGGGGTTCTCATTGGACTATACGGATCTCACGAAGACTTCGACACGGTTCACCGTCTCTTGTCGCTTACTACCAATGGCTTGTCTTGAACTCAAGGTTTTTAATCAGCTCGCTCTTAGCGGCTTTTGTGGGTGCTTCTACGTCTTACATTTGTTGCAAAAATCTATGTAAATCTCCAGGTAAGTCTATCCACAACTTATCCATTTTCCTTTTCCTTGACACCTTTCCTCTGGACAGTGCATCGGCTGCGTTATCCGCTGACACTACCCTCTTTGCTGTAACTGCGTACTGCTTAGATATGAGGCGTTCTTGTATAACCTTCCATTCCGTGTTCACAAGGGGATCCTTCGATTTCCCGTTTACCACTGCATTTTCCGTTACGGTGTTATCTGTCAGGACTGAGTAATTTCGTCCTTCCACCTTTTCCAACAACTCTATCATCAAAAGTCCTATTCGTATGGCGACAGTCTCAGCCCACGCAATTCCGCGTCTGTCTCCGTTTTCGTCTGGGTCTCTCCATCCATCTTTCAATTTAAATTGTGACCATCTCTTTCCAATAATCACCCCGATTCCGTAAGAGGTTGAAGCGTCACCTACCCAGCCGACGTTCCGGACTTCGGGTTTCGGGATGACCCGTAAAGGATCAGCTTTGGTTAATGTTTCCAACCAAATTTGTAAGTCTTCCTTGATTTCCGGAGATAGATGTCGCAGCGCGTACTTATTCCCCCAGTTTTTCATCATTCGATAGATTGCCGATGTGTATACTCTCATTTGTGGAAAAACAAATGTAATGTGGTTCAGTCTACCCACCAGCACCTCGGTATTTTTAAAGGATTGCTTCTCCTTGTGTGCGTATTCTTTTATTTGTTCCATCCTTAATTCTATCTTCTCCGTTGGTAAGCACACCGTTTTGTCTTCTCCATTCCAAATAAAACCTAAATATTTTTGTTCTGCGCTGAATTCTCTCCACTTCTTTTCATTAGTTTCAACGCCTAATTCCTGACTGGCTGCTGCTATCTGACGCATGGTAGTTGTGTTTGACCCGTCCGCCGGTTTGACGAAAAGGGTGTCGTCCACCCAACAAAAGCCTTTAAGTAAGTTAAATTTTATGATCATTATTTCTTTCCATGCTTCAGCGGCTTCCCCAAAAGTACCGCATCCTCCTACTCCGCCAAACTGAACTCTCGTGTCGACGTAAACGTAATCTTCGAAATCTAGAATCATTAGGAATCTCCACTGGTCCATTGCAACCGGTATTTGGCGATAGGCCTTTGCCCAGTCAAAGACGCCTAAAACCAGTTTTCCTTTGTAAGTTGTTATAAACCAGGCGACTGATTTGAAATCATCCCATGTGGTTTCAAAGTCATCCTTATCTACCCTAAAGTTTACTGACTCAATTTCTGGGTCGTCCTCAGGATAAGACAAGTTACTTATTGGACGAAAGGAACCGTCTCCGTTTACCACCGCGCCTAACGGGTTAGTGCGAAAGAAGCCAAATTTCCTGTAAGTTTCTTCCTTCGTCCAAGGCCCAAACATCCTACCTTGTTCTACTTCGAGTTTAAAGTTTTCTTCTATTTTTTCCCTTGCTAATAAGGCTGATTTGTGATTTTTTGGGCAGAAGAATCGCATTCCTTGTATTTTAGCGTTCCGGATTCCTTGGTCAAAACCGTGCTCGAACCCTCTCATAATGTGACGATATTTCCGATCCAGACGGTACCGCCTTAACTCTTCTCTCCATGCCGATAGGTTCATCTCGCACGAAGGTTGTTCTGGCCACACCCGTCCTGTCTTTCTTAACCCTGGGGTATCCTTATCCCATGGTTCTGGGATTCGTACTGATCTTTGACAAAGATCAAGGGCAGGGCTAGCGTTTGATGTCTGAGTTGTTAGACTTTGGGGTGACGACTTCATGAAAGGACGTGTGTCCCGGGCATTGGTTTCTGATGCGGGCGATGGGGCTTGGTCTGTCTCTCTTTGGTTACAAAGAGGGTCCTCAGCTAACCTTTGCGTGGGGTTCTTAGGCAATGGGGATCTAGTCAATTTTGGAACACGGTTTTGTTAAAAAACACGTTAGTCACTATTCTCTCTTGTGGCAATTGTCTCTTGGACTTCATTTCAACCACGTATGTGTGACGCAACGCCGCATTGGACAATCAAGCTTACGCCTTCCTTCCCTTTACGGGGTTTCCACTTTTATCCCTTCGATCGGGGCTTCGACTTCTGCTTCTGTGCCTAATATATCGGTCACCAGCGTATCGATCTCCAGCGTAACGTCCGTCACGTTTCCAGTCCTCCCGTCTCCTACCATCGTCATGGCGTCCTTTGTAACCATTTCCTTTCCCCCTTTTTCCGTTTCCCTTGTAATTACTGGTGTACGCGTGGCGGTTTTCAGTCGTGGGAGTGGTGTAGGTTGAGGTAGAAGTTGCGTTTGATTTTGCTTTGTTAGTTAACGGGCAGATGTTGGCTTTTGGCCTCCCCGGTGCGTAAGGATTGGTTCTATAGTGCCGCTCATTGTAGCTCTCGGCGGTTGTTTTGGCCTCCACTAACAATTTTTCTTGTAATTCGGTGTAATTTCCAATAGATTTGTCGACGGTTTTGCGCATAACCCCTTGACGAACCAGCCTACAATGCCTCAATGCCACCATCCAGCCGAAGTCCTTCCGTAGCTTTTTCACCACCGCCACATGGCCTTTGAATCGCTCAGCAATAGGTCCCCAACCGCATGCCACCAGGTGAGAGCAGAACAATTCCATACAATCTCCCCACACCTCGAAGTCTATCGTGAGTTCTTCCACTGGAGCGTCTCCTCCATATATCCTGGCTTCACCCCACGCTTTCTGATCTTTAATTAACCATTCCTTGTCGAACACGGTGAGTTGTATGTACGAAGTGAGACCTTTTAGAATAATTGTTAAACCCGGAGATAGGGGCGCTAACGACTCTTTCATTTGTGCGTTTCCACTCCTCAGGATTCGCCCATTGTGAATCACGTCCCCGTTCTCCATCTCGAGCGTTCCTTTCTTCGAGCTCATGATTGCGTAGGCTTTGTCTGATTCCTCTTTGGAGGACGCTCCTTCGAACCAGGTTGCTGGATCCAGTAACTCCGTGTTTCTGATGTTTAGGGCGGGAGCTTGGGGGATGGCTTGGTCGACTTGAGTCTGAATCGGCTGTGTCTGAGTTGGTTGCTGAACAGTGATCTTGTTTGGCACTACCTCTCGCACAAATGCCACCGACGTTCCGTCCGACTTGTTCGAGCGGGTTTCATCCTTGTCCATGACGTAAGGATTTGGTTGTTTCGCCTGGCCGCCACCCTTGTTCAACACCTTCAGCAAAGAGGTAGCCTCTGCGTCGTCACCTCGGTCGTACGCCTCCTGGATAAGGGTTCCTAGCGCTTCTCTTCGAGGATCTGTTTTAAAGGACACCGCCGCCAGCATTCAGTTTCTTGTTCTGATTTTCCTTGGAATTGCTACTACGGTAGTCTTAGTTATGAACTCCTATTGTAAGCCGGGTCTGGCTGGATCTCTATTTTTTGAGCCGGATCAGGCTAGTGGACACCAACTGTAAGCCTGGCCTGGCTGGGCACCTATTAGAAGCCGGGCCAGGCATAAAACGTCCTCCACGTGTACGTATCGTCCCTACTTCAAATCTTTTGGATAAAATAACAAGAAGGTAATTTCTTTTTTCGTGGTTCTCACACGTCACACCTTATATGTTGGCTGACATTGTGTTGATTCCCACGGGTGTCTTTTATTTTATAGATTTGTTTAGGAGCTTGATCGCCCGATATGAACAAGCACATGTGAGGTGTTGTGGCTTTGAACCAAGAATGATATAGGAAGAAAGATGTGGAGTATGGAGTTGGAGAATCACGACTGGGGTGATGAAGGTCTAGAAAAAATGATTTGACAAAGCTCGGATTATGGGGGCGGAATTTGGATTGTGGGAGTGAAACAATTACGTGTAAATAAAGGATTAAACAGTTTAACCGCTTACCTATCTGGTGTGTTGACTGCACACTATTAGTTCCTCCATCGCTTCCACTTCCACCTCCCTCCTCCTCACTGATTCCTTTCCATTCCTCTTCTCCTTGGTTTTCTTGAAGTTCCTCTTGTTGATTTTCTTGAAATTCCTTTTGCTGAGTCTCTTTCGATCTTCTGACCTCTCTGGTCTTCCGTAAGCCTTTTGGTCTCTCTGGGCGTTTTTTCCTAAGGTTTGTCGGAGTCCTATGTGACGTGTTGCTCCTTGGTCTGCCTCCTGTTCCTCTCCTCGGTGTTATCAGACGGTTTCCTGGTCTTATCCCCGTAGCTGCTGCTTGAGCTCGAGTTAGAACTGCGTTCAAATTTCCTTCAGTCTGATTTATTTGTCCTAGGAATGACATTGTGTTATTCTTGTGAACTTGTTTTCTCAAACTTTATTGATCTTGTATTATTGAACTTAATTTATCTTTGACGTGCTAAGTTTCTTGATCCGTTTTCTTTCTTGAATTTGAAATTAAGATTAATTCGATAATTAATAAGAGAAACTTGAGACGGATTGAAGACTTTAAGTTTTGAGAGGAACTGTCGAAGGTGCGAAGGTGCGTCAAAACTGTAAGAGGGAATTGAACTTGGATAATTTCTCTTCCAGATTGTCGCTCTTCGAGCGTGACATGTGTATCCCACCTGTCACGATTCAGTTCACAACCCGTGGACACATCCACCAAAGCGTGCCTTAATTGGTGTAATCAATCCGATCAAATGGAGTGGTCAAGGGAAACAGCTGAGGAGAAGGAGGCACAATTAAAGTTTGGTACTTAGCCTTTAGGTGTACCACACCACTTGTTAAGGCCTTAGGACCACCTGTTAAGGCCTTAGGGGTTTAATCCAGTTTCGCCGAGAAACTGGGTTGTGCCTTTAGTGTTATGATAGCGGAAATCTTTTGAGGGTGAATCAAGATCCTTGGGGAAATCATTTTGAATTGTGTTGAATAATAACACAGTCTCCCATGTGTCTTGAGGGGTGCAATAATTATATATTTGTCTTGAAAAACCATATCACACTTTTCCATCTAACTTGAATTCAACACAATGGTCGGGTTTGAGGACTGAGACTGAAACATACTCAGAGACTCTCAATGCTGACTTGGGTGCTACATATGGATGTAAGATTTTAGCATCAGGCGTATGTGGAAGATTTTGATGATCTCTAGCCTTGGGTAACTTTTATTGGACGTGAGAAAGAAGGGCTTTGTAGTCCTCGTCTTTCAGCTCGATCCTCTTTGCTTTGAGGTGTGCCAGTTTATGGTGGTTCATTTGCATGTTGTCATTCAGGGAGACTTCTTTGGTGATAGGATGATCTGACATCAGTCTTTGCAACTGACAAAACCTTTGCATCATTGTTTTATCCATCTCACCTGTAAAATTGAAATAGAAAAAAATGTGTAAGTCATTTTGCCAGCGCATCACAAGAGGATGAACCAACTCACTTAGATGCATATTAGTATGGACATTTTTCAGTACCCCAACCAAGCGTTCTCCTGAAAATTCAGCCACTTGCCCAAGAGGACCCCACCGTTGGATCATGTCTGGTATGTGAAGTGCGGAGTGATGATTTGGCTTTGTGACAAGGCCTTGAAAAATTTTCTTTGAAAAAAGGTGGTATTTTCTATCATTGATTTCAAAGTTCTGTGCATCACGTTCTGAGACACTCTTTGCACATACAATGTTGGGGCATTGCGTCAAGTAAGCTATGTTGAAAACAATGCTTCACATGTTTGAGTCGGCTGGAAGGTCCTCTACGTCTGTCACATATAGCTCAAGGATAATTAAGGGAATCACGTATGCAAACAGGCTGTGCAATTGGGCAGCCTTCAATTTCCCATGTTTGGTTTCACCGAGGTTGAGTGGAAGGCAAGTGATTCCAGATGGAAGGACGACATCCTTCAGCCGCTTTTGGAAAAGATGAATGTCGGATAATGATAGAAGCCCCCCCTTCAATCCAGCGTTAAGTTCTACATCATTTTCCTCATCATCATCACCCATTTCCTCATTTCTATCAAAGACATTCCCACTACCCTCTTCATACATCACTTGTTTTCTAGGTGGACCAGTGCTTTTGCACCCTTTATCTCTCTTTGGTCTCTTCATGTTGGCCTTTTGAGATGTATTATAGATGACAAACCCCCATCTGAAGCGGAAGTGTTGATGTTAGACTGTTTCAAGCCAATTGTGCATCACACCATGAAGAGGGAGGTCTTGCACTGGATCTCTATAAGTACGCCTGGTCAGCTCCGACCAGCGAATCCCAGTTTCAGAAAAGATTTTCTCCTTGTTGCTGACCGTGATACTAGCTTTTGAACAAAATGATGCTTTGACAACTTCTTCCTTCAGCCTCTTGTTTGAAATGATCATCCGCCCAATGTCCACCTTCGTTGCCCAGCACCATGGGCAGTATAGCTTTGCTGAATGTGAGGCAAATCCTCCAACCTTGTGCATCCCAACTGAATCCCACAACACTGTCAGTAGTTTCACCCAAACCAATCTCCCTTCAGGATACTTGTGTGTTGGGATATTGATACCATGTTCCAGAACCAGCAGCTCATCAACAAAGCCTTGGAGTATATGTGATATAGTGTCTGTGTCAGGTGCATTTGGTCCAGGTGTGATGCCAGCCATGCAGGTATCTCAAGTCAAGTTACACAGAGAAGGCCTCAGGTTGAGACAATTGAAGGCCATGACGCCCATGCACTGTTGACTCCCAGCAGTCTTGTTACCGCGTGGATTGAACCAATCAATAAGAAAGGAGAGAAGTAGATTTACTGGAGGTGGGGAAGTATTTGTAGAACCTGATAGATCTGATGGAATTGGATCAGATGGCCAGGTTACGTCTTTCCAAGCTGCTGATTGTTGTATGTCTGAGATCTTGGAATTTGATGAGCTTTCAAGTTCCTTCAACCAATTGGCAATACTGTCCTCAATCAATGGTTGGCTGATGAACCACACAAGCCAGGATCCTAGCCTCTGTGTGACAAAGACATTCTGTGGGATTCCAATGTTTATGGGTGGTACTGTAAGAAAGTGACTTGGCTTGTGACTTTGACTTTCTCCGGTGTTACAGAGTGATATATACATTGGTTTTACTGTGAAAAGATCCTTGCTGCACACTCGAGCATTTGGTGATTTTGTATAAGTGCAAACTTGAGGTGCCTTGGCAGGTGTATACAAAGTGAAACAAACAGGACAACAAATCTGTTCATGTAATTCTGGTATGACTGCTAAGTGTTTAAGTGTTGTGCAAATGTCTTTAGGAACTTGATTGTAGTTGTCTTGTTTGGCTTCTTTGGCTTTATGCTGGACAACGGTTGCTATATGAAGTATAAATTTGCAAGCCTTCTGACAATTCAGAAAGCTGACCGTAGAATAAATGGAGCCAAGCAAGGAAAACACAGATAAGGGTAATGACTAAAGTCCCAAAGAAAATCAGAAGAGATCAGCAGGGTATTGAGGAATGCTTGACTAATACATGACTTGCCAGAAGTTGATGAGTGAGCATTATTCTCCGGTTCAGATGTGGAGACATCCTCTTGTTGATTTATTTCCTTTGTTTGTAAGGGTGTTAAAGGTGGATCAAAAGTGAGACAAGGATGTTGAATTTCATTTTGGTGGTGCTTCAATTGAGTCCTCTGTGATTGAAACAGGCCTTGAATTATTTGTCCATCCTCACCCGTACAAGTTTGAGTCACACCTTTTGAGCAGGTGCAAATGCATACTGATTGGATCAGGAGATTTGTCAGTGATCAGACTCAATATCAATGAATATGGTATTAGTACCTACACATGTGATCTCCCATTTGATGGTGAACTAAGTTGATCAAGCAACTGGGGTTACAGAACGATTTGCTGACACGTTCAAAAAGTTGGAGTGCAAAAGTTCAAGAGTGGTGCGCTATCAGGGTTGCTGTTCCTGGGGTGTTTAAGTAATTTGATTAAGCAATGACACGGAGAAGAACTGGAGTGTTGTGAGCGGGGTATTCTCTAAGAGATTGATTGTGGAGTACTGACATGCAAAGGGGTTCTTGTTGCTTATACGTATCAGTTCACTAGCTAATGGAAAATATCTAATGCCAACACAGCCAGAAAGTACGTAGGTACAATGGGAAAGATTTGTGTGATAAGAGTTAAGCGTAATTGATAGGAAAATTAGAGGGGTTTAGAAAAAGCGAGTGAGTCTGGAGTCAAATTGAATGAAGTTGAAACTATTGAACAAAACAATGAGGGATCCAACAGCAACACACTTGTGTGGAATGCCGTATCCGTTGAATAAGTGTTTAGAAGAAACCTCAATAAATTATTTGCACCTATCAAAAGAACAACAACCATCCCAAATACTCTTGTCATCCAAGCATGGACTCCTTGACAGCAAAAACATGACCTCGATGCCCTGATCTTTGACCCTTTAAGTGTAATCAGTGCATTTTGATGGCAAACCCTACCAAAATAGTTGATATGCCAACAGGAGCCAGAATCTTTGGTACACAAGGGTACACAGTAGCACGGGATGATTTATTATAAGCTTGAAAATGAACAAGAGTGCCAAGTGTCTAAGAGACATATACAAATGATCAATTTTTGCTGATATCACTAGAATAGTCGATCCCTAAACCTCAAAACTTGTTGTATCAACCAGACAGATGAAGCCCTGGAACATTCTGATTATGATATTGTCAACTTTATTGGAACAATACACGCATGCTAAGCCGGCCTTTTGTTTTGCCTTATTTTCAAGTTTTGGAACACTCAGCCTCTTATTGCAAGCAATCCATGTATATATTTTTGGAAAGAAAGGATGCTTATTTGTTCTTTTGCAAAGAATTGATCAACATTTACCCCTTGACTTCTGTCTGCATGCGTTTTGGACAAATTAAGTTAGGGGAAACACATCGTGCAGACCAAGAGCTCTTGAGTTTGGGACGGGAAATCCACCTTGAATAGGGCAGCAAACTGTAGCACAGACATACGGCAAACAAACAACAATATAACCCACATTCAAATTCACCAAAAAGAAAAAGAAAAAAGAAAGATACCAACACTACAAAAAATTTAATGTATTCTGTACGGATTTCAAAAATGATGTTAATACAAAAATGTAGATCACAGATTACTTAATTAATTTTATTACACAAACAATGCGAGTAGAGATGGCCAAAAATACGTTTTTAAAGTGAGAAACGTACTGGTAAAGCATATGGGGAACAAAGATCCTGGCAGCTTACTCGGATTGCAAAGGATCAATGGTAGTTTTGACAACTAGATCAGATCATGTGAATATTCCACATGTTTTGAAGTTGGTACATGTATTAACATAGTGGAATCTGTGAAAGGGGGAGGGAAACCTGGCAAAGACGACAGGAAAGGTTTGCTACTCTAAGACAATGTGCAACAAAATGGCAAATCGACAGGTTCCCCCAATGGACCACAGTCGTGCCTACACTCCAGATTGGGTACCTTGTAGCCTGATGTGCTCATTTCCCCCGTTCTCCAGATTGTTAGGAAAATTACACCTACATTATTTTCAATATCAAAACCTCTTTCTACCTTTCTAAGCTAGACAATTCAATTTCAGTGACTATTTCATTCAATACGCTCGTCATAATTAGTTGTTACTAGCACAATTGGGCGGCGGGCGCCGCACTGACATTTTTTCTTACAACCTGAAGAATGATTGTGGGGTGTTTTTGTAGATATTTTTAGGAATTGGTGCACTCCCAGTCGCACCTGAACTTTGACACATCTGTTTTGTGCTTTTTGTGACAAACCTTAAAATGCTGAATGACTGCATGGTGAACATTGTGTAAATTATAATTTATAGTGTATCCTGCCCCAAGCCTAACCCCTAACCCCAAAACCTAACCCTAACAGTTCCTAACAAATTTTTTCTTCTTCAGTCTCATCAGAGATTTAAGGTTTTTATCTTTATTATTTTTCCTTGTGTGCAACAATTATAAATTGCCAATCAATGATCCAAAATGATAGTCATACAATGTGGGTGTGGTTTCTTGGGCTATGCAGATGAATGCAGTGAAGTTCCTACTGATGATACACCAAGTCTTGGCAATGAACTTGTCAGACCAACCTGTCTTACTTACCTCAGGTGATGATTGTATTCCCTTTTTTGCCATTTGCCTTTCATTTTGTCTAAAGATTTGAATTTCAACAATCCATTTCAAAAGTCATTTTCTTGATCAATCTGCACCAACAAAGATGCCTTGGATCTTCATATGCAAGCATATCCGAGGTATCCTTGGATGGCAATACCCTTGGATGCCTTGTCCGAGTAATTGATCTGAGTCTTCTTTTGGGGCTAAGAGAAGCCTCAGGACATCTCCTCAGACCCAGAGTCTAAGCTTACATGTGTCCCAAGATGCCTCCAATTTTTGGATTCAAGTTATGTTTGATGGCTGTGGACCTGGTGATGTATGAAGTCATAAATTGCACATGGATGCCAAGCATGTATCCTGAGTTGATCTTCACTTGGTTATCTACTTTTTCAAACTCATCCTTTTAGAGCAGGTTTTTCATTCAGAAATCATTTGTCTTGAATCTAAATCAATCATTCCTTGTGATACAATCAAACTGATTACAAAGATCTATCAATAGCTGATGGTTGCGTAGATGTTTTGAACCATTTCTTTCAAATGTTTTGACTTGGGTCTGACTGTTTAGATTTCTTGATCTACTGTACAAAGATATCAAGATTCAATTTTGTTCTTTACAATGTGAAGCTTTGCTGAGAAATGGTCAATTGTCACAGCAGATAGAATATTTGTAAAATTTATCACATAAAGATAGTGAAAGGATGCCAAGAATGATCATGACAAAAGTGCCTTTGTAGCAAATGAATTTGAGTAGGGTGATTGGAATTCCACTACAGCATCTCGGATTTGCTGCAAGATATATCAAAATCAGTGAAGTTTTGCAAATTATCAAACTTGGATAAAGTGGTGAAGTTTAAAAACTGAAATTTGGATAGCTTGACACAATTTATACATTGAGATAAAGTAGTTCCAGTATGTATTAACATTGAGTCTCTCAAGATATTGGTGATTGGAATCAAATCAAATGCTTGATATCTTCATATTATTACAACT